GTCGTCTGGCTTGATGGCTTCACCCACATGTTCAATCTTTGAATATCCACACCTGCAGACATCCTCTCTGGTGGAGAAACAGGAGCCAATGAATGCTTAAACTTAAAAAAAAGTCCCCAAGACAAAAAAGCAAAGTCAAGAGATAAAAACACATCCGTCAAATTACAGAGGCATGACGTAAATTATTTCTGGACAGACAGTTTGATGGAAAAAAATAAAGAATTAAATTGTCATGTACATTTGACAGCATTGTGGACGATGTCTCCTCCCACATAGACAACAGATTGCAGATGATACAGTATCTCTATGCAGAAGCAGCAACTACAAGGTAAGTAAACACTTTAAACACTGATCCTACCTGACATCTTTCTCAAAGAGGCAGCATTCTTTTTTGTTGATCTTCTCTTTGATCCAGGAGGAGAGGTCGCAGGGCTGGATCGCCAGACTATGAACCAGCTGGGACTCATTCTTAGCTTCCACCATCCTTGAGACAACAAGGGGGGAAACAGTGCACAGATGCAGCCCAGGTAGAGAGCTAACTGCATGACAGCAGAGGAGCTGGCTTTCACTGCATCAGTGATGTCAGAGCTGAGATGAAGCTGAGCAGACTGCTGGACCCAGATTAAATGGTAAATGGACTTGAGTTTATATAGTGCTTTTCTAGTCTTCGGACTACTCAAAGCACCTTTACACCGCCTGTCACACCCACCCACTCACACCCTTTCACACACTGATGTTAGTGATCGCTATGTAGTATCATCAGAAGTAACTAATCCCATTCATACACCGCCACTGAAGCAGCGGGAGTAATTCAGGATTAAGTGTCTTGCCCAAGGACACATCGGACATGTTGCTCAGCTGGGGATTGAACTCTTGACCTTCCAGTTGAGAGGTGACGACTCTACCAACTGAGCCACAGCCACCCATTGAACTTCCTCTTACAGGACAGAAAGTAGTCTGGTGCCAGTTCTGTATAAATAGTGAATTACTGAGAGAGGAGGATTTTTTCCCCCCACAAACTTACTTCATACATCCCAAGCTGCTAAGTTTAAAGGGAAACATAAAATTGTAAGCTACTCAATGTATTACTTTATATGGCGTTTAATACAACAGCAGCTTATGAGTCAGTCCAAAAAAACCAAGTGAAATAAGCACCAACTTGACCAATCAAAACATTTAAGGTCATCTGGCATATAAATACATCACTGTTCTAATAATACAAAAAAGAAAGTAAAATAACATAATCCAGGACTTTTTCCAACATTGAAAAACAGCAGAAACCTCATTTCCTTTTGAAGTATTTCTTTATTGTAAAATAAAAGCCCACATGATATCTTTCCTACACAATGGTTTTATGACATTTTACGACATGCAGAACACAGCTTTTATAATCTCCACAGGTACAGGAAAAAAACATCTTCATGCTGGATTTATTTTGTATTTTTCTATGTTCATATAAAAAAAAAAAAAATTATAAAGCCATGGTACCTATGCACAGCTGACAGCATATTAAATGCCAGCTCCTCTAGTTCATTCAATATGTAAACGGACAGATCACTCACCTTTTCATGAGACACTACTTGATTCAGCTGGAGTTTGTCTTGCTGCATCGATTCAGTATTTTCACATGACGGCAACATTCCTGGGGGAAAATAAACAAAGCCCTGGGATTTTTGTCCAACCTTCTGCTTATGGAGGAGGTCTACAGAGTGTGATTCTTCTCAATCTATAAAAGCTGTTGAGCCTGAAACTTTCTGACTTCTGCTTTTATCTTGCTGGCACGTGACCTGTTCTGCATTATCCCTACTTCCTGTGAGTGCTCCTGGAAAAGCACTTATCTAGATGGATTTTTAGTAACCGACTTGTATAAAACTGCATATCCTACATATTTGTAGTTTACACTCACCTGTTAATTCAGTCATCATGGATCAGGTGGACAGAGAGGCTTGATTGGCTCCTCCACATGACACAACAAAGATCTCGTGCTCCTTCCATAAAAGACAATCTGTGGCCTCACATTACCACCGAACAAATGTGAATCTGAACCATAGACTGTAAATATTACATTACATATTACAATCCCTTTATGCATTTCAGTCACTTTTCAGAGCCAAAGGGAAAAAAAGGAAAGCTCAATCACATCACACAGAAATCACAGAAAGAAATCTATATGAGGTGATATTTTTCAATGACTTTGGCGTCCAGATCTTCCTTTACCTGAGATCAAATTCAGCAACATGAGTCCGTTTCCTGTGTCTTGCTTTAAAAAATACTATTTACGGTGTTCAGGTGCTTTGTTTCATGTCTTTCACCAGCCGTTGATGCGAATGTTGCCAGGCGACACCAGAAGTGTTTTACACAACAATAATAATAATAATTATATAGCACCTTTTAAAAACATAGGTTTACAAAGTGCTTTGACAAACAGCACAAGGGATCTTGTTACTGAAAGGGGCAATGGTTGGCCCTGAACAACTACAATTGAGGATTGTAGCTATCATTAACTAAACCTATAATCGTTTCTGAGTATTATATTGTCTGGAGCTGTACAGAAAAGCAGGAAGGGATTAACAGTTCTACCCTTTTCACTCTGTGAGTGTAAAGTGACTACAAAGAACACATTTAATTTTAAAGTCGACATTGTTGTCCCTGTTGGTATCTCCTGAGAAAAGTTGTGATAGGTTACAATAAAAGCTCAAGTAGCCTACAGAAACCAAAAGTATCTTGAGGGGATTATTATTTTGGCAGCTAATCAAGATTGATATTTATAATCCCCATCACATGAGTAGATGGTTTGGTGATGCTGTGACCTTCAACCTAGAACCATAATCATGTAAAACTTGTCATGAAAATCCCATCAACACCAAAATAATTTTGTTTTGTGCCAATTAGCAAATGAAAGCATGATGTCAGTTAGCATTTAGCTCTCTGCTGTTTGGCACAGTTTGGAAAGAGCTAGCAGAGTTAGCTTAGCTTAGCAGACCCTCCAGATGTGTTTAATATCTTAATGTCAACAAACGGACAAGTGGTCGGAGTTTCCTGAATTTCCCCACTATTACCATATCATACTGTAAAACTTACAAGAACAATGAATGTCTCCGAAGAGCGTTATTTAGTCTACTACTTAAACATTATCATTAAACACAGAGGCAACACACACCTTGCACCACCTCATTGCTGAGAAGTTTGTGTTGACTATATTTCAGCACTTTGTCACTGTGAGTTAAATCATGTTGGCTATCTGTAGTACAAAAAAATAAAATAGTAAAAAGGTTAGAATGGGAGTATGTAGCATGGAAGTGGATTAGGACCAGACATGAGAAAGAAACAATGGTGGAGGAAGATTTTTTATTTCCTTGTGGAAGAAGTTCAAATGTCAAGAATGAAGATGATTGTAACTTTATTCTTGAAATTGTATTTCAGTTTATTCTCAACAGTTCAATTTTTTTTCTCGATTTTATTTCTCATGTTTTTAGCTCAGTCCTCTATTGTCAACTTGCCATCAGACTGTTAATAATAAACTCGCCATGCAAAAAAAGCTATTACTAGTCAAATACAAATAAACAAAGGAGGACACCACCTTTTGGCGACATGTGGAATTGCGGTTAAATACCACATGCAAAATTTTGACTGAACAGCATTACAGACTTGCTAGCACAGCTGCAGTTTAGTTTTAAATCATTAATCTGATCATAAAAAACAAACAAAACATATATATATAGGCTAGAAATGTATTTGTAGGAAGGAATTTGGTTCTTAACAGTACAATAAATAAAATAAAACTATAATTCCCTTTATGTATCTGACATTACACTTGATCTGCATTAGCTGATGGACTGAGTCTTGTTAGATCTTGGTGGATGTTTAAATATTTTGAGCTTTTGCATTTTATCCATGAGTTTAGAGAATACAACTTTTAAACAAAACAAAAGCTGTCCTTCATTTTTTCCTAATATAAAAATATTTTATTGTTAAAACTACATAGCCTACTATAGAGCAAAAACACCTTGTACACTTATTAGTGTTTATGTATGACTCAATAAAGTTCAACGTGCTGCGGGGGCTGAATGTTTGAAATATTGTAGGGGGCGCCACTGAGCCATTAAGCCACGCCCACTCACTTAAACGGTACAAGATGTTTGACTTTACCACCAGGATCATATGTATGAAGTTTCGGGACTGAACGACTATGTTAAGCCTGTGAAAAAACGACTTTCTGTTTGATGGCGATCAAAAAAAAAATTTAAAACATGAATGTGTTCAGGGCGGGTCCTGCATGAGAAATTGTAATATGATTGAACACTGCATAACTGAGATACAAGCATTTGCGTTTTTGGCAAGTTGCCAAAACACAAAAAAAAGTTAAAACACACGCCACGGCCACTGAAGAAATAACATGCAGAGCACAATGAGATATGTTGTACTCATCTAGAACACGCTGACACTGAGTTCATGTTGAACACGAGATCCCTCAGACTAGTTTGTTCAAATAGGAAGGCTGAAATCGTGACTTTGGGCCGTTATTGTGAAATTCAACTGTAACTTGTGGACTTCCTGTTGGGTTTTTAGAAACGCTGCAAGAGGATTTTGGCGCGATGCCAAAAACGACATAAACTTTGACATCACACCACGGCCACGTCTTATTTCGAAACTGTGATTTGAGCACAACTTTTATTCTTCAACTTGTCTACTTCCATTTGACACCGAACTTGAACTCATTTTCTGCCTATGTAACAGACGGGTCAGGGTTCGTCCAGTAATATTTACAGTCTATGGTTTTGATTTGATAGAAATGTGCAGGTTGCGGTTCAGTATTGATTTTTTTTTTTTCAACCAATATCTCTGCTCTCTGAACTTTCTAACTCGAGAATTCCACCGTGGACTTCTTCCAAAATAAAAGTAACTCAGTAAAATACAACTATCAATCTTAGTCTAGTAAGTTTCTTTGTTTAGAGAGCAGTTCTACGATGACGACGAGTTTAAGTAGACCAACACACACATACTTTACAGCACAATATTTATTCAACAATATACAGATTGATTTCTCTCTACATCTCAGACAGTTTCTTATATTTATCTTGCTTTCACCTTTGTACAGTTTATTTACAAGATTTAAAATAAGTCTTTCTCTCCATTTATACAACATCAATAGTACAGTGTGATCACATCATCCAGCAGCTTCCAATCGAAGCGTTTTTGATTTGACTCATGGTTGATAATCGGTTTAGATTTCATACACCAACTGACGTCTTTGAGCCACCGAGCAGCAAACTGACAGAAGGGCTCAACATGCACCAGAAGTCCGGATGTGGCTTTCTCTGTGTGAGGGCAGTCACATGACGAATGGGTGGTCCTCTTACTGTAGTTCACCTATATAAGAGAGGTCCTTTGTTATGTAGCACCACAAGGGTGTGGAAACAGAATTGCTGAATGGGGACACTGTTGAGGAATCTGCTTAAATGTAACTGCCCTGTCCCATCGGACAACAATCAAAGGAAGCCAGAACACCAAAAACCAAAAAAAAAAAGGGGGAAAAAATGTTGCATAGAATCAATTCTGACTTAAAGAACGGAAATTTTGGTGCTTCCATTTTTTTTTTTAATTTCTTTTTTTAAATAAATGTGGCTTTTGATACACTCCTGAGACCCTTCCACACCATGTAACTTTTTTTGGTTTTGAAAAGAAAAAAATAAATAGCTGTACCCTTAGACTTTAACAAAAATAGCATTGTGTTGAATGTGACATCACATAGAAGTACTACTTTAAAGAGACTAAAACCCTGCATTGAGTGTATACACATTTGCACATCTATATATATATAATTTCAATAACTATCTTGAGGAGAGGTGGATGGATTAAAGTGCATTATACTGTAAGAAAACAAAGCCCACAGTTATCCCATTCGGGGCAGGAAATGATCTTTGTCCATCAGCAACAGTGGCTCCCCAAGTACACATTTTTAACCACCTCATTTAGCCTCTTTTGAATGGAGATGGACCTCGTGGATTGTTTGGCTTATTAATCACACATTGTGTTCATTTCCTGCCCTGACCACATGCAAATAACACCAGACACTGAGGGGATTTTTTCTATCCATTACACTATACTGTACCAACATGGCTGCTGGTAACCTTGGTCAAGGGGCACTCATATTAATGACATGAACACATTACCAGTAAAACAGCAAAAAGGTGCTGCTCGGCTCACAGCAAATTACAGCAAACGTATACACCGCTCATCGTGAGCCACACAGAACAGGGATGACAGCAGACAGACCGGACACAAGTGTGAACTGTAGCTGCACTCCTCTCTTCTTTTGTCCTCCCCCTCCTCAATCCAGTCCAGCAGGAGAAGGAGGAGAAGGAGGAGGAGCATGAGCTCGAAAAGGCCAAAGAGCTGCCGACTGAAGCTCTGTGGCCTGAAATGTTTAAGGCTAAAGCGCACACAAGGACTCATTTGGGACCAGGAGCAGCAGTTGTGAGGGTGTCCAGCATGGTGGGGAGAATGAGTGTGGGATTTTCACTGCAGACTGAACTGACTTTTATATACATTAATCATTCATACTCGTTTTAAACAAGCACGTGAGCAAGACATGGAAGATGCAACACGACAACTGACATCCACAGTACATATACACAGAATATACTGCTTTTACATGTGAAAAGCTAAGAAACGATTGTGGAACTACACTGTGTTGCAAACATCTGTGACAAGTGAAAAGAGAAGTCATGGCAAAAAAAATTAAAAAAGGTGAAGCTGCATCTAAGGGCACCATAGAGCCAAATGTCCAAACAACCCTTTTTTATCGTCCCTTTCCTTCAAATTAAGACCCATGAACAGAAAAAAAGGCATTTTAACTTAAGACATCCAAGCAAAATAAAGTTCCTTAAAGAGAGGATGTGTTTTGGCACATCTGGCAAAGATGAGGATGGGACTTGGGGGGGTTGGCTTGCTGGGCATTTCAGACATCTGAAACAGCAGTGCTTTGCAGGGCAATAACATGCAAACAAGCACGTCATGTTCAAAATCACTCAGCCTAGGCAAGGAAGCACTACACAAGGCTAAAGCTAGCACTGTTCCCAGATGCAGGCAATTAACAGCAGAGATAATTCAACTCCATGCACATGAGGATTAAAACAATTGCACTTCAGAAATCATTACATAAAAAAGGAGCGGGGGGAGGGGGGCTTTTTGGGGAATTAAAATGATCAGGTTCATCCCAGTTTTGTTGATAAATGTCAGAAAAAACCTGAAGACAGTCGTGTTCTTGTTTCGCAGCTGTTTTGTGCATCAAAATGAGGCGATCAAACTGAATGGAAATTACATGATAATCAGTCACAACTCCCTCGCATGAACACAGAAATAACCCCCCAAACACCTCGGGGTTCTTCAGTTTCAAACATAACGGGCTCTTTAAATCCTGCATCTGATTGGGAGACAGATGTCTGAGTGGCAGGTGAACACACAATGAGGTAGAACATAATGTTTCATGAGCGTCCAGTCGGAGCACAAAACACAAGACCATCGTCATAGTGACTGCTGGGGTGCAGTGACTAGTACAAACCTCCAGAGGGCAGTAACTCATCGGCTCAGGAAATGATATCGACAGCATCAACACACAAACACACTAACAAGTGCTTAGGGATGGAAGGACCCATTAAATGGTTTGAACCGCAATAACAATCCAATAGAAAATACACAAACCTGCACTGTCCACATTGTTTGAATCCAGTTTTCCCCCAACATTCAGCTTCCAATCTAAAATTCATTCCTCTTGTAGCTGCACAGTAGGGATTTCTTCAGATTTGTCGAGTAAAAAAATTAGGGAAGGTCAAACCTTTACCACATTCCAAGTGGTTTTAAAACAATCTTATCAGTCTGATTCTACAGATCAAATTAGGAGATTATTATTACATTATTAAAAAATAATGGGCATGGCTTAAAACTTGAGAATACATTTTGCCAAACTATTTTTTGACAAGTGAAAAAAACTGAACAGAACCAAAAAAAAAGAAAAACTAAAGCAAACCTTACCTTCTTTGGATTGTGATTATAAAACATTTAAAGAAATGGCATTCATAAAACTAGTTGTGCCTCAGCATAGATAATCAGCAAGAACGATTGCACGTGAGCCCGGAAAAGAAAGGGGGAAGGAATGAAGAGAAGGAGCAAGAAGTCCTGCTCTCCTCCACATGAGCGACGGTAAGTGTTATTGCTGATTCGTGTTTGACTGATTCAGTCAAGAACTCAACAGGAGGAAAAAAAAAGGAACGAAAAGTGAAATGTCATACATCTCCTACAGCTAGCGTGGCATCCGTACGGGGATCCTCTCATGGATTCCTCTTTGTGAGGAGAGGTTCTGGGTGGAATCGGGAGGATGCAGAGACACACTGCACTCCTTCACACTAGTTTGTAGTTACAGCAGTTCCTCATTCACTACTTTACTCTTGTTGCATTTTCAGTCATGCTTAACCCACCAGCAACGACTGCAGGTCATGATTGTAAGTTTAATGGATGTTAAAAGGGTGGAGACACAACTTAGGAGGTCTGAAGATGTGTTCCTAGACACACACACACACACACACACACACACATTACAACAGTTAAGTAGACAGAATGTGGCATACTGGGGCTGTTAAGAGTTGCAGAGAAAAGCTGCAGTAGGACGTGTGTTAACAGGTTTGTGTGTGTGTGTGTGTGTGTGTGTGTGTGTGTGTGTGTGTGTGTGTGTGTGTGTGTGTGTGTGTGTAGCATGCCCTGCAATGCACATTAGACCTGTGATATGATCTGCATGTTGAAGCTGGGGGAGCGGGACTGCTTGGTGAGAGGGGCTCCAGGAGAGAGGAGCTCCTGGGCCTCCTCGGGCCTGACGAGGTGCTCTTCCTTCAGGCTGATGGTGGAGTGGCGGTGGGAGCCAACCATTGGACGCCTTTCCTCCTTGTCGGAGCCCCCCACCGCCTCCTCACGTTCCTCGCCGCCTCCGTTCAGGTTGAAATTCATGCAGTCAAAGGACTTGCTGGAGGAGGTGCTGCCAGTCCGCACCAGCATGGGCCCAACGGGGAAACTCAGGTGCTTCTTGATGGGGCTCAGTTGAATGGCGTCCAGCATGATGCTGGCCGGAGGCGACTGCTTCCTCTGGTGGTGCCTTCTCACGACGGCCTGGAGATCCGAGGACAAATCTGCTTGTTTCTCTGCCTCCCTGTCCCTCTCTCGCTCCCGTTCCTTCTCTCGCTCCCGTTCCTTCTCCCGCTCTCGTTCCTTCTCCCGCTCTCTCTCTTTGTCGCGGGACAGCCGGGCGGTGATGGCTTTCTTGATGCTGCTGCTGCCGCTGCTGTTCAGGCTGCCGCCCCTCGGGCCCACGCCGCTGCCCTGCTTGGTGCCACTGGGCTGGCTGCTGTTAGATGCCCCAGAGGAAAAACCTTCATCTGGGTCGTTAATGTTGAAGGAATCTTCCCCTCCGCTCATACCATCAGCATCTGATCACCGGCCACATACACGGAGACAAAGCATGAAGGACAAAGATTAGAGAAGGAAAAATGTTGATATATGTTCTGATTCTGAGTAAAACAACTAAACACAAATCAACATATCCTATGGAGCAGTTAAGCAGCTGTAAAAAATCTTAAAACAAAAATGTAACTCATGGGAAATTATCAGAATTTAGCATAAAGACAAAAGACCATAATCTGCTGATTCTTATTAATGCAACAAACTCAAATTCATCTGAGATTTAACATGTTTGGAGGCTACAAAGAGAGCAGATTTCAAACAGGTCAGTACTTAAACCTGCACTCATCAGACCATGCAGCTTCATTAGCGCCATCATTATGCACCCGTGGTACAATTCAATAAACAATGACCTTCAGCTTTGATCATCCTGTGTAATCCAGATCGACCTAATCTGACTAGCTACAGTACAGAGAAAGTACACGCTCATAAACCTGCCTGATTATGGATCCTATCTTAAAAAAAGAAATAATATCATACTCATAGAATTGATATCTTTAGTTAATGTCTTTGAAGTGTCACATGCACAACTTTGCCTTAAGAATTCAAAACAACATGATATCCATAAATGTTTGAAAGCTGAAAGGGAAAAGATGATAAATTCAGTTAGGAAAGAAAAGCATTTTTAATCAACATTCAGTGCTCAGGGTAAAGCCTGATTAAAGAGAGAGAGGCAGAGGATCAGCTGTCCGTCTCCGTCATGCATCATTGGTACAGTACAAGCAATATTGGACAACAGGGAACCGCAGGCACTACCAGGAAAAGAAACAGAGAAACCGAGAAGAACAAGGTCTCGACTGACATGCACATAACATGAGGAGAAGACGCATGCTCTCCTGCCTCATCCCTCCTCTCTCCTCCTGCAGCGCTGACCCAGCGGGTCGCGTGGTTGGCAGGCCGAGACGAGCCTGACCAATCTGTGGAGAGCGCTGAGGCGAGTCCGTCCGTACACCTCATCAGATCAATGGAGCTCCTGTTGGAGCTGACAGCCCACATGGCTAAATGTGCCAGACCTCTCTGGGCATACTGATCCCAAACGAAGAGCGGAAATATCTCCAAAGCTTTGCAAACATGGAGGCAATTTAAGGATGGTAGAAGTGCTTTCGCTAGTTTTAACCTTTTGACTCCAATTTGGCTTCAAGCTGAAACCTGCTTGAGAGATAATCCCCTATAGAAACATGTCTTTGCTTTCTTTTTTTAGAAACTTTTCACATGGTAATTTCCAATATGCCTATAATTCAGCCCCAAACTAAAAGGAGACATATAAAGGGTATTTCTTTCTACCGCAGAATAGTCACTAAGTTGACCTAGAACCAGATTGATCAAACTTCAGAGTTTATCAATTTATCACATGAAGAAGACGCGATGGCACTCAGACAAACACTGACCACAGAGCCAGGGGGATGAGCTGATCTTCAGTCAAAAACATGTAGGTACCACACAGAGAAACACACATTAGACAAGACAAAATGGGCCGCGTGATTGGTCCCCACTGTGATAAAGCCTTAGCTGTTCTGATTATACGATATATATATTTTTTTAATTTGTTGATGTCTTCTGACATGGCAACCTGTCCTTTGACGTGTTAGCGTTCTGGGTTTCCATGTTTTAGCGGAATATTTTTGAAGCTTGCTGTAGCGTGCGCATGCATGATGTAGGGCTCGTTCTCACTCACTGAGCTGAGAGAAAAAAAAAAAAAAAGTAACATGGCGGAACAAAACATTAACATACACATTGACTAAAAAAACAAAATGGACGGCCTCTTCCTGCAGAGTGGCGGCAGCAGATGGGTTCTACTGGCCTGAGTGGCCTTTAACTTGTGGAGCTGGCAGTACAGAAGACAAGATGTCCAGACTCTGTGCCAGTTATGGAAAGCTGATGATTTTTTTTTTCTTCTTTAAACTGCAAAAATCAAAACCCTAGAATAGTTTTGAAAGCCCAAGATGCAGGTGGGGAACAAGACATGCTCAGTGAGTGACAAGGGCAGCAGACTTTGGAGGCATGATGGGGAGAAAGAGAGGATATGATGAGATGGCCCATGCAACATGGCCGCTAGCCACACTTCCTTCAAACCCAGAATAGGCGACTCTTCCGCTCTTGGACGAGCTCAAAAAAATAGTCTGGTAGTAGAGGAGATGTTGGCAGAGGGTCTTAGAGACTGGATGAGTTAGTATACTCTGGGGAAGTAAAGAGGCAGCCAAAATGGGAACGGCAGTCAACCCTCTGAAGCTGAGGAGGGGTAGGAGGAGGAGTAGTAGTAGGAGGAGGAGGTGGTGGGTGGGGATGATACAGATCGAAAGGGCACCTCCTCCCGAGACCCTCTCTGCTCCGCCCCTGTCCCCTACCCTCGAATATGATGGGGGGAATGTTGCTGCTGCTGCTGCTGCTGCTGTGGTGGTGGTGGTGGCTGGGAGGCTGACCTCCTCGCTCCTCTTTGGCTGCAGGGTCCCAGGGAGTGTGGTTGCTGTTGTGGAGGTGCTGGGCGAGGCTAGGAGGATTGACGATGATGCTCAACTCTGCAGCGGTTGAGTAGTCAAAACAATCTGGGAGTCAACAACACAGACGGGGAAACATGTTTTTTTTTTAGTGGCCGCAAGCCCCAAGTGATTCTCGGGCCTCATCGTGGGCACAGCAGGTCTAACAGCTGTCTGAAAATTCAGTTGTAGAGTAAAATATAGAAACATGAGCTGTCCCACTTATCGCCCATCTACTGGGTAAAATGGAGTCAGTAGAATCTACAGGCACCATTTTGTCATGAGTTTCTATTACAACACAACCCTTTAACTTAACTGGTGATACAAAGCACATCACACATTGAATAGACAAGACAAGCAAAATAAGAGCAATAAGGAGCAGTGAGTGGCACAAGCACTGTAACACAGAGACTGTATGATCATAGTTACATACAATATCTGACAGGAAACACCATTCGGTTGACGCTTATGGTGTGACTGGTTTACACAGAAACCCAGAACCTGTTTACACCTGGTATTAAAATGCATCGTGTTTGCTCCTATTACAAGTGTTCATCAGTAATGTGTATGAACTACACGGAGGATAGGAGACTTTGTTTACAATGACAAACAGATGGATGGATCTGTGATTTAATCCCTTTTTTCTCCTCTGTAATTCAGCATATTGGGAATCATGTGGATTCACACACAATGAACAATTATGGAGGGGATCGAATCATGTCCTGTATCCAGGCGTCATGAAACCCTCATCCTTTATCCCTGAGCAGGACTATAAGGCAGTAGGGGGTTACACAGACTTGTCAACTAGTCGCTTATACAGCTGTGTGATGACGCTTTACGCCTGATGTCGACTGATCGCTTTTCAGGATAGAAAATCTAAAAGTGTGACTGTGCAGGACTATGACAGGTAAACATGGCTCCTTTGCCTACTCACTGAGTGTTTTTCTTTTTTTCGTTGCATTCACTGAAATGGGAGTTGTAGCCCACGTGTTATTGTTGCATACTTGCAGCTGTTGCATCCTGCTGTTTCTTTAAATGTTAACTGTCTGCTTTCAGCAGCATATGCATTAAGTTTTGTAAATAAACATTTTAGCTGGTTGCAAAGCATTACCTTCTCCTGTGGTTTTATTAATAACTTTTATCAGCGACTATTATCACATGACTGGCAACTTACAAAAATCTTAAGTCATGCAATGTGAAATAACGTGCACTTTCCCTTACTGAAATATAACGGGGCATAAGGGCCTGTGTCCAATAATGCACTGGCAGTGCCCAGAACCTGATTTTCAGTTCTGAAAGTTGTCATGCAGCTCTTTGGTAGTGACGGAGTAGTCTGCGTTGCATGCTTAGATTCACTTATTTTCCGAGGAAATTGAACAAATAAACGTTAAAATTGAAAGGAATCATGTCTTTGCATTAGCAGCAGCTATAGACCTGGAAATCTTACCTCAAAAAAATAAGTGTGCACGAGATGTATTTTGTGAAAAGGCTTAGTCTCCACTATTGTTGACAAAGTTGATATGGGACACATATGACATCTGCTGCCAACTGTGGCCCTACTGACCGGATCTCCTTACATCCTCAATGTGTCTTGAAAAATTCAAAACTCCACTTAGTGTTGTCCACTTGTGATCGGACCACCCTAGACGGATGTTAAAACCAGGTGTAAACAGGGCCAGATCCTCCTCTCACTGCTAAGGACAAACACCAGAGAAGTCATTCTCTCACCTAAGAGTTCCTTCTTGTGGATTTTCACTGATTGAAAGAAAGGAACAGCTTGTAAGTTTAGAGTTTGAATCATCACTGAACAATGATATTTTTTTCTGCATAACTTTATTGTCCCTCGCGTGCTAAGTTTGTTAAAAAAAAAGTAAAGAAAGCGGAGGGGGGGAAAAAGTAGTGTAATGAAATCTGAGCTGCTATCACATCTACTGAGATCTGTCCTGCACTGAGGCCGGTTCACTTTACTCTGAGCTGAAGACATGACGGCAGGATTTTCTGTTTCCTCAGCTGCTTCAGCCTTACCCTCTCTCTTCCAGCGATGGCGTCGTATGGAGGCCGTGGTGATGGCTGAGATCGAGATGCGGCTGATGGTGGGTGTCACCTCCACCTGAAGCACCTTACGCCCCCTCGGCTCATCAGGTGCGTTCTCTGGCAGCGAGTTCTTCATGGCGTTCGCTAGCTGCAGATCACAAATCCACAGATTTGGATTAAAAGCAGCTCAATGATAAAACTAAGAAGTTTTTATTAAAGATTTGAAGACTTGTTGTCATAGCTGTTTTTTAAAGATAGAGGAGAGCCTGTGCTGATTAATGGAAGATGAATAAACAGGCAGTATTTATCTATTCATGCAGGCTCCACAGACAGGTTCATACACAAAATACTATGGCTGTCTTACCAGCAGAGGCTGGGAGTAAAGCTCCAGCTGGGCTCTGTACAAAATGTCCTCTAGAGCTTCCTGTCCCATCGCCCACTCTCCATTGTATCTACATACAAACAAAACAAAACAAAACAACAAATGCAAGAACACTGTCATTAAATACACCATGACGTGAGCTTATTTGGGTAAAGGAGTGTCTGCATAGATGCCTTGACGTCAGAGTCACATCCTCCTGAACTATTATTAGTTATTCAGTCATGCCTTCAGCTACAGTGACAAAGGGAAGTAGAGGTAAGGGAAATATTCAGTCACAGTAATTATACCTCTGTTTGAGCTGTGCCAGACTTTTTCTTTTAAAACTACTAAACAACCTTTTGAAAGTCAACACATACATTTATGGTGAAGTGAAAGAAATGTTAGTTTCAAAACTCATCAGAATGTATTTATTTTTCAAGGATAAACTGTCCTCTAGATTACTCAAATAAGTAAAAACAGTGTGTTTAAATGATATGCAAATGAACATGAGATGAGTCATCACTAAATGAAGGCTGATAATTATTGAGCTTAACCAGCACATTTATAAACGTACCAGCAGGTGAACCTAAATATCAGAGCTGAAAAAAAATAAAAAACTGTGGACAAATCAAACGTCTAAACGCAAAGGTGATGTAACAACAAACATTACAATCACAGGAAATGATCTCAGAATTAATAACAGATAATTCGGGGATTCATTTCCAACAGCATCTGTAGAAGATGAACAATAAACACACCATCAGAAGGGATGAAGGGGTTAATTTAAGAGGGTTAGATTTGGGGATGGTCACTCAGCTCTTTGCTAAAGCTTTAAAGAAAGTGTTTCTGAAACGACATGGGATTAAAGGAGAACCTACAATAAATGAAAACGTCAGATATCAGAAAAAGAAGAAGGGCACAACTGAACTGTCTTTGATCTTATTCTGGACATGAAACAGACAGCCAGGGGTTAAATTGTGTGGGGTTCCCTTTAGACTCAAGATAAAAGAGATGGAGTAAATGGGCGAGTATAAAAGCCTCTGTGATGTAGTGATGGCTGGAATATTGGTGTAGAATACATTTAAAAAAAATTAGGGGTCTCTATTAGTTGTGATATCCCTTCATGTCTCTTCATGTGGTATTACAGCCTTTTAGCATTAGCGGACATATTAACCTAAATCCCAGAGTGTCCTCGATGAGTGCCAAGGTCCATCTGCATGTGTGGATTCATGTTTATCTGCGGCTCGCGTGCGCCTGCTTGGGCCAAGGGTGAACGTGAGAGCTCAGGATGGTGAGGATTACTAAAAAGGCTGTTATTCTTGCAGACCTACACACACTTGCACAGTCTGGATTTTCACTCTGACTTCTCCAATCTCCTGATTGATGCTGCGTTTCCTCATGGGGGCCATGAGGCAGAATGCATGCTCATTCTCCCCGCTTCTCCTTAACAGCAGTGACTCCAGCCACCGGCGCATCAGGGGATCCATCTCTGAGAACGAGCTATCATCGAGAAGACGTAATCAGCTTTGCAACGACTGTCATCACAGGGGATGAAATCACCTTCTCCCACAATGCACTGCCCATATAATCAGTCTGTACAGTGGGGAACGTCTGTCCCTGGTATATTCTCTAAAGCAGATATTGTGCCGTACATCACAGAAAACTAGCAGAGAGACTCGCCTCATTAGTGTTGTCCCACAGAGGCATAATAACAAAAATGAGCAACATGGTGTTAATGTAGCTCAAAACTCTGAACATTATCATATCCATTTCAGTGAAAATACAAACATAAGATTCTCTTCCTCCCTATAGCCCCGTGTCTATAGCTCAATGTCTAGTCTTCTATATGGAGAGGAAATATAATGGCATAGACATAAGCTTTTTTTTTTTTTATAGCAGAGCAGCAAATGACAGTGTCCATCACTATGAGCAACCATTTATACAAACAGCTGCTCCACACGGTTATCAGAGCTTAATAGTCATTGCCAGCTCATCGTTTAGCCAACCATCTCATAATTTAAATGTTTTGCTACAATAGGCTTAAGAACTCCCACGGATCACCGACACAGCAACACGATTTCACCTGCCATCCAGGAAATGCTTCATCAGTTTACTCAACATTAATGACACTTTGAAAGAAAAATACTAGCAAAATGGAAAAGCCATGGACAACCAGGGAGTGCACAGCTTCGGCTGCTTGAACGTACAAAGCAGCTCAAAGGGTTCAAACTGTGACAGCAGAGGGTGAGCGATGCTTTTTGCAAGTGGGACGCAGAATGTGGGGCAGATTGTGATCACTATTAAGTCAATTCATTTGTATTCATTTAATTTTGATTGACAAAGATTGGGAAAGCCTGATGATTCCCAGTGTCACCCTCGCAGTTAGGACATTAGTTTAGAAAAGATAGAATAGAATATTTGCCTTAATATCAATGCTAGGTGTAGTTTGGTGGAATCACAATATCAACAAAAGAGCAGAGAGCAACATACTGGTGAACAGAAAACATAATACAGCCGTTTAATTATGTGCACAGAGATCGTAGCGGTCGTTGGCTGACCGTCAATGCACTGATTCAAGTCACAGGATATAAACGTCACACACCCACCCATTGACTCGAGGTGAATTCACCAGAGAATACCCTGCTGCGTTCTCACATAAGCCCACTCGGACTTGCTGCGGAAAAAATACTAGGGGTGTGGCAGGAGAAACTCAGAGTGAAAAATTTGGCTGTTTGCTTTGTTTTTAGGAGTTTTCTGCAAGTGGCAAAGCCCTATAAATGAACATAAATAATCCAATTGCAACATGCATTTATAATATTGAACATGGTCCCTTTACAAATAAAATAAACAAATAAACCATTTAATCTCCATCACTAGTTAACAAATATAAAAAGATCAACTTAAACACCCTGCGCAGCCCTTAACAGCTGACAGACACAGTTAGCAACTAGCTTGTGAAGATATTGTAGCATTTTGTGACTTAAAGAGTCAGATATTATCCTCCGGAGTTCATAAAGAAAAACAGCTGACAGAGAAGAAATATTCCACTTCTTTTTTACCAGGTTGCCAAAAACAAACTTGTCAGTGTTACTGTAAGTACCAGGTAGATAAGTGAATAAGCAACTGTTTGCTTCCTGTTTTGTGAACAAAAGAAATAAGTTAGTGCAACTTCAAAGACACTTACATGGCGTGATAAACTGCACTCAGCATCTGCACCATGAACTCAGGGTCCAGCAGCACCCGGTTGCACGGTTCCCTCCAAAGCTTCTGCTGCTGCCTGGGGAATCCACATACACACAACCTGAAGAGAGAAAAAAAAGTTAAATAATTAAAGTGGGTGAAATAATAGAGAATTAAACAACACAAAGGGAGAAGGTTCAGGAGGGAAGTCTAAACAAAAGCCCAAATCAGATGAGTGAGGATGACAGGACAACTAAGCATCAGTTGCCTTCCTCAATTAACTACACACAAAGGTAGAAGAATTTTAAAAAATTAGCAAAGTGAATATTTCTATTGTTTAATGTTAAGATGATGGGGTATTCTGGGTCTAAACTCAAAGATTAGGTTTTGTTCTCGTGCTCTGAATTCTTCACTGCCACAGCGTGCCGTCTGTCTGGACTGGCGCTTGCTTCAGGCGTTGCTGTCTGCTTGCTCACAGCAGGGAAAGTCTTCACATCCTGACTCCTCTCCAAGCTGTGGTGGAACAATCACAGGCTGTCGGCTCCGCTGCAGAGCCTCATATTGTAAATCCCACATTGATATTTTTCTCTTAACTCTCCAGCTTCTCAGTGTTTTTAAGACGGACAGAATCCGACAGGTTACCCAGCAGCGTTCAACCTTTGAGTACATTTATAACGCTCTGTGTTCATGCTCTCTTTTTGGCCAATCTCACACAACTGAGTCCTAATGAAATCATACTTATCAAATACACCAGCTACAGGGGCTGACATGCTTTATATGATTTACTCTGGTTTTTTTCTCACCGTGAGCTCATTCTGCAGACGGACTGGTAGGAGGAGAGGGGCATGTAGACCACGGCCGAGTTGTAACAGAGCATGAGGAAACACAGCACCTCGAACCTGCAAACAAGAAACAGTATGAATCTGTTATCTCAAGCTCTAATTCACTTGATTAAAGTAAAAACACCAAGATTAAATCATTAAGACTCTTCAAAGTAAATGTAAGATTTTATAAGATGTGGGCTAAACCCTAATTTGTCCTTTTATGGAAAACGTTTTTCGACAAAAGTTTTCTGAAGCACTGAAAAAGGAAACAATTAGTAGTTTCTCAAGCAATTCATTAACTCCATCTGAACTGTAAAAGTGTCTTCTGAGGAAACTGCTGACCTAAGCAGTTTTGTTCACTGAGAGCTACCTTATTGTATGCAGATGCTTAATATGCTGCAGTAATCACTCTTCAGCTCTAAAACACACATATCATTAGTGGTGTTGAGTCTGGACAAATGCAGAATGTGAGCAGCTGTAGTGTAGAACCTGAACTATAGATCCTTTATTGGTACATTAGTTGTCTCTAATTTCTTTGCTTTAAATTCTCCAAGGTGTATTTAAATGAGTCATGGCTATGTATGGATACTTGTATTTAGTACCCTGACATTATTTTTTGTTTCCATTTTGGACCTTACTTATAACAGGAGTCAAGGGAACTACAACTTGCTTGATGTGCAGGTCTGCCCATCTCTTTGTTATGAGAACAAAAAGAGGTAAGTGTGGGCTCCTCTACATCCTGCGGGCTAACTACGAACCAGGTTTATCTTTGAAGATACACTGAAATGGACTCATAATTGACAGAATGATGTCCGAGATATCTCATCTGTATAAAAGGTTTGTTTTTTTATGAGTAACTGTTTAAATGTCATGTGATTTATTAGCTCATGTCTCTTTTACAAAGTCCCTCACTCATTTTCTTTGGCTAATCCGTGGCCAGGTCGAGTTTTGCAGCAGTCTAAGCATGTTGACCCAGACCTCTTCCCAGCAACCTTTGCAAGCTCCTCCTGAGGGATCCTGAAATGTTCCCAAGCTACTTTCTTACTCCCTGCCACTTGCAGTCACAGAGAGGCAACCCTCTCTTAATACTATGCTACTACTACTACTATAATAATGTACTCGACCCCCATGCCCATCCCCTCCAGGTGGTCGTCCCATAGGGTGACGTCGAAGTTGTTCCTTCAGGTTGAACCTGGCCGGGACCCTGATGGAGGAGAACCCGGCCACCAGAAACTCGCTTCAAGCTTCGAGGTACACCCAAACCCCTCCACCATGATAAGGTGGTGATGCATGGGGGGGGGGGCTTCTTAAATAGTGTGTAAATCATCACAGTGGATGAAGCTTTCATAAATCTCACTGGTGTAGAAAAAGTGTGAGTGGAAAAAAAAATCTAAAACCTTAAACATCAAATCTTTGTAAAAAGAGTTTTGTGTTCATCGCTTTGTCAGATTCTTGAGAAAAGTGTGCTTTGTTCAAAATCAATTATCACCTATAATCTCTATTGTTTCAATTTCCACAACAGCAATTCAGTCTGGAGTTTCCTTAAATGCCTCAAAGACACATGTTGCTATTTGAACAAGCAAAAAAGAAAAAAGGAAAAAAGGTAACAGTTTTCAGCTCAATAGTGGTGCATGTGTGTTTTGGGTGTGTGTGTCTTTATGAAGGACAACCAGGAGGAGGAGATGGAGTGTAAAAGGACCATAATTGACTCCTTGAGCAGGGGGAGGTAAATGGCCTGGCTTTATATCAACAGCCAGAGTGAACCAGCACCTCTCAGGGGCTGCAGGCTGTCTTCTCAAAAACACTTTCTCAGGCAGAGCCACACAAATGGATTTCCAGATAAGCTCTGAGACCAGGGCCTTCTCAAATCCATCGAGTGTATTTACGACGCTCTGTGTTCATCACAGCCGAGCTGGATGGCCACACAGGATGATCGGGCTTACAGTGCTGCCCTTAAATTATCAGCTGTGACAGTCCTCATGTGTGTCTGTCTCTGTGCATGCGTCACTGTAAACAAAACACATGTGCAAAGTTCAACACTGCCAGTTTTTGGTGCGGCGGCGGGAGGCAATTTTTCTGGCAGGATTTCAGCATGCTTCATTACTATGCTAAGATAATCATTCATACAGAGCGGCAGAGCAAATGCGAGAGCCAAAAAAGCTTTCAGGCCTGCTGAGTCCGGCCTGAAGAGTCGAGGGTTATGCTCTGATCATCTTAAGAGGTCTTTTTCATCTTGTGGGAAAGAATGAGAGGTAAAAGAAACCATTTTGTTGTTAAGGATAAAAAGAATATGAAAAAAAGAAGGAGTGATGACGTCTGGTCTTGTGACGCTAGTGCTGCCCTTTCTCTGTATCTAAAAAGCAACAAAGGTATAACTTTAGTGATCCATTCACCATTATCTCTTACTGCTACAATTTAATCTCTTTTATGATGTGTGTGCTGCGTCTCGGACGAGTCCCTCTTTGTGAACAGCTGGTGGATTCAGAGTGTTACCTGTTCTGAGCTGTGAAGGTCTCCCTCTGAGGGTGGAGGCCGCTGTACACCACTCTGATCAGGTCATGTTGACAGAGAGCTCCCTCCGTCAACGCCATAGATCCCAGACTCGAAGGCTACACACACACACACACACACACACACACACACACACACACGATAAACACAGTTAATTAAATACTTGCCCACTGCGTTGGCTTTACAGGACGCCAGTGAATTGGCAGCAATAATGTGGCAGGTAAAAACAGATTGCTGTGCACTGCAAGGTGACACACCGGGGTCTTTGCTGTGCTCAGGTTTGCTGTAAATAGTATTCACATTTTGTTTGTTGAGATGGCAATGAGCAGCTAATCAAATTTTCTTTCGACTTTACAATTAGGTTTACGGGTTGACTTCAAAGTGGAAATCAGGCATGTGGTCGGCAAAAGATAAGAGTGCAGAGGAATGTGCAGTACATGTCAAATTTTTACTGCACACTTATTTAACAGTCACTTTTACAACACCTGCTTGTAATGGCAGTGAACATAAGTGGGGGTGGGGGTCCTCTGCAGGAAATGATATAAACTTTATTCCTGCATTTAAGTTCATTCTTATGCACCAATTTATTTCATTTCTGCATCATTTTTCTGTAGTTATTTACTCTTATGTCCTCTTTGGGTCACTCAGATCATGGAAAAGTCAATTCAGCTCAATCCAGAAATCATAGGACTGATTAAGAACAATCTCAGCACAGTTTAATCTATAATGCCTATCTGCAGCTTTCATCAACACATGTATATGAGACAATGTCATTGTGAGGAACTAAAGTCACCCCTTAATTAAATTGAAATGATATTACGTCATGGGTAATGTGCAAGCAGAGAAGGCGGGGAGGAGGGATTGATTCAGAGGAGAGAGAGTGTATGCTAATGCTGCAGGCCTAAGGATACAGCCACGTGATGCGCAGCGCCTTACTACAGCATAGCAAGCTTGTTGTGATTCATGCACGCACGCACGCACATGATCCCCGCACCCCCCAACCCGCCTCCATGCTCTCATCATTCTCTCAGCACGGAGAAGAGCCTCTCAAGCTTGTAATTACAGAGATAACTCGCCCTTAGCACACGCCACAAACTGTGGTCTCATCAACTCAGTAGCACTCTCACTCTAGCACCCGCTGAGGAGCTGACATACTGTATGAAAATATACCGTTTGCTTGGATTAGAAAAAAAACCCACAAATGTCTGACAAGTCTGACAAATAAGACGCTGCTTATTTCTGTCCTCAGATCAGTGTTTCCTTATAAACACCTTGCTAATGAATCCCAGCTCAACACAGTGTTCAATAGTATCCCCCTGTTTAAGTCAGGTCAGATGTTGAGGGGGTGGCACAAACCCACCATGACAGAATGACTAAAATAGAATCTGACAGGGATGAAAAGAAAAGTTAAGATTCTACTTATTTGAAAAAAAAAAAAAAAAATGTGTAGAATTATCAATTTTCTTTGCCTATGTCGATTCTGATATTTAGACTTGTGTGTTTTAAAGAGGGTTTTAAAGAGGGAACTATCATTGCTCTATTGTGTGACCCAGTACACCAAAATAATCCAAATAAAAACAAACTGAGCACACAAGCTTAGCTAATAGCAGCAACTTGGCTAACACCAAACCTAACATCTTGTGTCTGTCTGTTCTAAAAGATAAAATCTGGATGTCATAGACCGGACCAACTTTCTTCAAAGACATTCATAGTAAAAAGATTTAGGTTGGCCGCATAAAAAGTGATAGCATATAGGGAGGGATAAGTCCAGAGGCTGAGGATAATTAAAATGGACACTGAGAAGGTCTCGTCTTCCAAATAGCCACTTAGGTTAGTCTCTGTAATGTTTCAGGGGTCAGTGTGAGGAAGCCAAAGTCTGAACAGAGGGGAAGAGGCTCAATAAGGGGAGGGGTCGGGGTACAGATGAGAAAGGTTTCATTGAAAGGTCAGACTGGAGCCCCACCTCGTGGTATATCGATGGTTTGGACAGAGATGGGATTGTGAAGGAGAGGAGCTTGCTGTTCCCGTCTTTGTCCACGATCTCCTGCAAAAACAAACAGAGGGAGGCAGAGACAGTAAAAAAAAGCTGTGTCATTGAACGGTTTGGTGATTTGATTCTCATTTTCATTTAAAGTTAATAGAAGACTGACTTATCTCCATGTATAAAATCAACACAGTTTAGCCTGACTTTGTGGAGCCGGGAAAGCATTTAGCAGCAGAGGTTTTAAAGCGTCTGTACAATCACTGTCCTTCACATTGTTGTGCTAAAGTAAAAACCAATCTGCTGGTACATGTTATTGACTCTGACAGATCCAATGCCACTGACATCACCCTCACTACTCAATTCCAATTTCACACTGTGAAACATACCACAAAGAGAAATTCATCCCTGTAAATGGTGTCATTGCACGATTAATCACGGTCACAGTCAAAATGAGAACAAAACTCATTCACAGAGACATAAGGTGTTTACGGACCAAACAGTTCTGGGGACTTTCTGAAGAGGGACTATTCACTAAGGAGTTCATTGAGAACTACAGACCATCAGAATTCTTTTGTCTGCATTTGAACCGCTATGGTGATGTCTGATATGAACCTTAATGTGATATAAGCATGGCAGACAGTGATTTAGATTTTTTTGTAGTGATTTATTTTTTTATAGTTTCAGTTTCTTTATCTTCTCACAGCTTTGCTTCGCTGTGTGATGGATGCCCAGTGTAGCAAGCTGACATACTCTGAAAGATTTATCATATTCCGATTTGTTCTTAGTCTTCTTTCTCCACATCTTTTTTTAGAATTTCAGAGCTTTTACAAACTATTATTTAAAGTTATTTGTAAATGTTTACAGTGGGATTTAATAATGGCAGTTGGTGGTACTTGATTGGCTCCTGTGTTCAAACACTGATGTATGGACCAATCACTGTGCACTTACGTCACTCAAAGTTCTCTTGGGACTTTGGGAGAGTTCCTTCTTAATCTAAAGCAGGAACTAAAAAGGTTCCTCTAAACGAGGTTCTAGGAACTAAAGTAGTTTATAGTTCCTGTGGTGTGGAATCAATAAAAAAGGGGGAGCGTTCCAACAATTTCTAGAACTATGAAAAGATCCTGCCGTCCAAAAACTCGGGCAGAAAGCAATTTGTTCTCTTAACCAATTGTGTGCTGCCAAAGGGGATTCAAGTGGTGTGGACGAGTTATCAAAGATGTTATTGTACCTCGTGTGATAACAGCTGACATAGTTATCTAATGGCAGAAATGATCAGGTTTAGTGTACATTTATAAATATTATCTGTACAGTTTGTGCTAGACTAAGGAGGTGGGTGAGTCTATACGTCATCATGAAAAAGGATAACTGTACTTTTTCTTTTGATGGTTAAGGTTTCTATTTTCTGTCTGTGTGAAGTTTTGTTTGTGAAATAATGTAAACAACAAACACCAGTTTATCCAGCCGCACATTCAGGCCGCTATAATCTAGGTTTTGTAATAAGGTACAGAAAAAGGCTTCATCCCGTTTATCTCCCATTGTCTGAGAGAGGACTGATGGTCCAGGCCTTGTCCTGTCCTTCACTGACTGGAGGTATATCTCTGAATATCTGATGGGGCTGCTGAAGGCAAAGCAGTTTATCAGAGCTTATCTGTCGATGACCATAGGCGAGAAAGGACTATGAGCATGTAGTATGTGTGTGTAAGTGTGTGTTAGTGGTATAGACAGAGAAATAAATTATGCATGGATATACCCTGAGCCATAGTGGCTGACATGGAACTCGTTTCTATTGATATCCCCAGCTCTTGGCCCATTTCCCCAAGGGTGTTTCCTGGTGATGCAATCTATCCTGGGTCTATCCATTACCCAGGCTTCCCCCTGTGGATCGTCTTTAAAGTCAACAGACTTACAACCTCTCTTATGTTCCAACTATATTAGGTCTAAAGGCTTATTTAAGATATACAAACAAGGTCGCAAACATCATCAGAACAGCCATCCTTTCATAAATATATTCCATTGAAAAATGTTTTTGACCAGCAGCTAATGCTAATGCATGAACTATTATGTAATCATTATAACAACAACAACAACAAAATAATGACTGATGATAATATATCAGCTGTCATAATAATGATCTTTAAATAGGTACTAGGTAAGCAGGGAAAAGTGAGGAGATATATGTACAGTATGTGATGGGATACAGTGGTACAGTGTTTATATCAGAAGGAAAAAGGAAGGGGTAAAAAAATGCTGCTTTTTTATCAGAGCTCCATTTCTGCAGTTACCCTGGGGCTATTTTGCACCTATATTGGTCACCACAGACTTTAAAACTGTGGAAGCTAAACGTCACACAAAAGTACATCTCAAGTCACTAGCCTGGTTTGAATTCATTGGCCTCAATACATTATGTGCAAAAGGTCTCGTTTGTCTGATTTAAACGCTGGACTACTGTGTGCCCCATAGGGCTGACACTTACCAGGTTATAGATGCCCAGTAGGAGTGCTTCAATGCACCCGTTACTCTGCCGATCCCTGCTGGCTGTGACTCGCAGATAAACCCACACCAACTCAGGAAGGAACTGCAGGGTGAAGCGGCGAAGGCGGTCTTCGGAGCTCCTGTACAGCTCAAACAGCTGGTGGCACACAGGCTCCAGGAGCTGGATTAGAATGGGAAGGGGGGGAGAGAGACAAAGGGTGGTGCAAATAGTGAAAGTCTGAGACCCATCTTTAAAAACAAGGCGGGTGAGTCGTATTTTATGATGAAAACTGGACTGGGGAAACTTTCAGTTTAGCAAATACTTAACAGACAAAAGGTCAACATAGTCTGCAGGATTGTCTTGTTTTTTTTTTTTTTAAATTTTCAAGCAGTGTCTCCTAGATTTAATGTTTTTTTAGGGATCATCTTAGTTGACCTGATTCATTAAATCAACATGTATTCATGTATGACAAGACACAATATCATAAAAATAAATTAGCAAATGAACAGGGAGGAAGAGATATGATAACGCTTCAGATGACCTTTCCCCCTCATGTGAGACAGTATCACTCCTTCACAGCTCTTCTTTCAAGGCATGAATGAATGTGGTCCTTACTACAACATGGTGGAGGGGATAGATGGAGGGAAAGCTGTGCAGTCGGTCAATTGTGGGAGGCGAGCAGGAGCAGAGGGGATAAATCACTACAATGGAAGTCTGGTCAGATGTAGTCTCAGGGGAGCCAGCTGAGCCAATGTGTTTATACTGTCCAGGGGTCAGTGAAGTGAGTGCCAACACAGCACTTCTGTTTATGTGTGTGTCTGTTTTTGGGTGTTGCACTATGGCTGACCCTGAAATAAGCAGCTAACTCATTAATGAACTTGGCAAGGCATTTAGCCCTCCATGTTGTCAACAAGAAACACACAATATTTTCACACACACACACGCACGCACGCAAGCACACGCACACGCTGGAACACTTGTCTGATCATTAATGCGATTGCGTAACCTGATTGACATCACTAATCAAATTTAGATGCTTGGTTGCTTGACACCCAAAGTTGTTCATCAAAGCCTGGAGAAAGTCCAAGTCCTCAAATTGTGCCATTAGGTAAGGACAGAAAATACTATTATAATTTTGCTAGTACAAGTAACACTTTAAAACGGTGCATGTGTGTTGTATCAAAACTCATAATAAACTGGGTTTGTAACAAACTGTTTTAATTTATTATGTGTGTTTGCATATTTGAAGTTGCATGCAGCTATTCCAGTGTGTGCAGCTTATGTGAAGTGGCTGTGTGTACATGCGAGGAACAACACAATATGAGTCATCTCACAGGTGAAGAGCCTGGCAATGTGCCCGTCCCTCTCACTCCCTCAGACTACAGTGTGCTTGTGTTTTTAAGTGTGCATGTGCAGCCTGCAGACACAGCTTTTGTGTCGGTTTCTTGCTCACAGCCAGCTGAGACTACATGATGTGAGTCACAACAAGCAACACATTTCCTTGAGCTAAAAACAGACTTCACTCGGGACCTGTGTATGCGTGTGTGGCCTTTGTGTATCACCTCATTGTTCGGGTCCTGGATGACTCTGTACAGCGCTGGCACCAGGGTCTTCTTCAGGTGGAGGCTGCCAGCATAGCTGTGGATGTGGGTTTCTGGTAGGGACTGGAACAAGGAGAAAGAAAGAATGTGGTCAGCAGCTGCATATACATTTTACCTTTCTTCACATTACTGGAGGTAATGATACATGAGGCCTATGCAGGATTTTCCCTTGCGTCCCTTTAAAAGGTAACCATAACGATAAGAATGGAAAACTGTCCTATGAAAATAAAAACAAACTTGAATGTCAAATATTTCTTTTCAAGACGATGTGGGCCTGACCAAACTGGGATTGATCATCTCCATGCTTTTGATGAACCTTTTGTTTTGGAGGGCAGTTTACACAGTTAACACACATGCAGAAAGATGAGATATATTTATTTATATTTAGACCCATGTGTCTGAAATCACTCCCCTTGGTTATTCATTCACCTCTTCTTTTTTAAAATCCACTCTACATTTGACTCAACAAGGAGCAGTGAATTTAAAATTGGACAAATACTAACATCCTCTTTTGCGTCAGCACTGACGGCTGCAGGAGCACATGACTCATTTGATTGTCCTCTTAAAATTCACAAAAATGTGTGTGGTTAACAGAATAAATGATGGCCATGTTTTATTTAGGTCACTGACAGTGTGACAGTAAACTAACATGAACAATACCACACAGGTGGAGTGAAAGTGATCACACTTAACATCAGTTTGAAGGCACTGAACTACACAGAATGCGATGGTATCTGACAGGCTCAGAACTTCCTGGGGTGAAATTCTTTAAATGGTCAAGATTGTGTGTTTGTGTGCGGATGACAGACGGCAGAGAGATTTCCTCTCAGCACGGCCCAACTATGGTCATTCTGAGGACAGAACACAGTGTGCCAGGCCTGCACCACTCACACAATGACTCATACCCATCCATTTGCCACGGTATTCATCATACTGCCTTTTTTTCTCTCTCTCAATTTTGTGCCCTCCTCTGCTATCCCTCTTAATACAACATGAACTAAATGCTTCGTTTGCCTCACCTCGACATTACTCCCTATAAGTCTCATAGTCCCCTTTAAATACTTCATGTTCAGCCGCCATTTCTGGACACATCAGAGTCAACAGAATGAGCTTTCATGGTCTCCACTGAATGTTTTGCTGTGTTAGATTTCAGTGTCCAATGTCCAACACTACAAATAGCGTCAGAGTTAGTAAATGAGAGTGGCCTTGCTGATTATTGATGCAAGATCCTGAAGAAGCAAAGGAAGCTAATATATGATTTAGGTAACATAAAGGTAACATCTAGGGACTAATTAAATGTGTCATTCAGCATTACATCTGACAGTTACATGTAATAGCAGCCTGTTTATGCATTTAAAATACATATGTTTATTCTTCTTAGAAATCAAATACAGTCCCAGTAGTGAGTAAACACAGCACAGAGCTTGAAACAGAATGGTAGGGACAGGGTCCACGTCACAAAGAATGCCATAAATAATCATGTTTATGTTTACTTTGGCAGACACAGCTGTACTTTAGTTGAAGTGTGATAATGTGATGTGCTCAGCTGAAGCTGTCTTTAATAAGTATATATCTAAAAAAGAAGATGCTGTGATATTGCACCTAGTGGATTTTTTCCTCTTAGTTAAATTTCTTTATGAAAGAATCGACCATATTTGCAACAACAACAAGTACACCCCAATCCCTGTAGAGGAACAGTTAGCACAAGTCACTAAATTAAGCAACTGCTAATGCTAATAGAAGCAACCTGCTACAAATAGAAGAGAGCCATTGAAAGACATATTCGCTTTTCATAATCCACTCAGGCGTGATTTGGTTCACATGTAGACATTACAGCGAGGCATATACACAGAACAAAACCTCCTTATTTATTGAAGTATGTTTGAGTGACAGCTGGGAGTGAGAGAAGTTTGTTTTTTATGTCAGTTTCTTCAGCTTTTAACACGTTAGAGACTGTTCTATGGGTGTAAAGGTAACAGGTGACGGTTACACAGTTTGCCAATTTACTGCAATCTGCATGACTGTGTGTGTGTAAAGTCTGTTCCTACTTTAAATTTATGCAAGCAAAGACAGGTTCTGTTGTCTCAGATGAAAGACCAGAAAAATGCTTCAGGCTCCATGTCGTGTGGTCAAAATCCAATCAGTAGTGAAGAAAGCAGAGCTGACTATCAAAGTGATGAGTCATGAGTCTAACCCTAAAGGGCAACCTTTCTTGCTTGATTTCACCAAATTGAATTCATTGATGACGACAGATTGAAATATTGGCAGTAAAGAGATGACATGTAAAAGCTTGCATGCTCAACATTCTCTTTACTCAGAGCTGTTACACCCTCAGTTTGTTGTTTCTTTGGCAAAAAAAAAAGAGGCTCCAAGGACGAGCATTTCACTGACGTGAGTCATGATGGAGAAGCAGAGAGCAGGACGGCCCTTACCTTGAATTCTGAGAGCCATTCTTCGACAACACCGCGCTCTGAACCCAGCATCTTCCTCAGAGACCCCCCCTCGGCTGCCTAGTGGACGGGGATACAGAGGACACAGAAGAGGACATTAAGTGTTGGTTTAAATAATACAGTATGTGCTGTAATGACTGGGAAGTCCACATGATGATGGTAAACCCTGATAAGTGTCGCTGTTTGAGCCAATTTCCCATTTTCAAAGTAATCAAACTTCAAACTGCTGACAGCGATCATTTCACAGAACACTTGAAACCTAATGAGACAGGAGTGTAATTGGTGGTCAAAGCAATGCCTCAGAGTGAGGAGGCTATGGTGCTGGCATGACCATTACATAAGGAGTCAACTCAGTGACTTCACCGGTCACTGTGGATGTGTGACATGATATAAACATTACAGGAAGTCTTTGAGATTTCCTTCAAAGAATGTTAATGTCAGCAGTTAAGATGAAGTGTTTGTTGTTCTCAGCTCATGTTTTAAAGACAGAAAACCACACAAACAAGAAAAAACAACATTATAACATAACAGAGCCGCAAAGTTGAAGAAAAATCTTTCACTGATGTTTTTTTCCACTATAGATATTCAAATAAACCGTGTTCTCAGACTACAGTCACACTATTATCCCTGCTCTTGTTCTCTGTATTCAGCAGCTAAAAATAACTACAGCAACTGCCCAAAATAAAAAGCCATTTCTCCTTCAGACTTCATCCCATGGAACAAATTAATTATCCCATAAAAAGGCTAGCTATGAAGGAGACATGTCTTAGGAAGTGTGAATGTGAGTGTGTGTGTGTGTGTGTGTGTGTGTGTGTGTGTGTGTGTAGATCAGTAGTGTGAGAGACAGAACAATCAGACACTAATGACATTGTGGACAGTGATTAGAGTTATGTTACAAGAGAAACATTGAGCCAAGCCATTGCAGTTTAACATCAATGTCATTGAAGTTCTTTCACACAATTTAACCTTCACTTCAGAAAGTCATAATTTAACTACAATTATAATTCTCAATGAAATCCAAGAGTTGCAAATCGAGTCAAACAACAACGTTCTTTCTGCCAATAAACCAGAGAAATTTTAAAATGTTATGTGACAGTGTTGAGAAGAAATACACAGTCAACACAAAAAAGCAACAGTCACATCTAAGCCTTTCAAAAAACGGAAATGATACCTTGATTACAATCCTGCATAAACCCCATTATCTTTAGATTAAGGAGATTTTTTTTTTGTTGGTGTCACTGTCAGTGACCTCATCATTTTGATGGAATAGCCCTTCAGACAATTATTCTCTTACTTCTGTTTCTTGTGTTGGGGCTGCAACAACCCTTTCAAGGGCTTTGTTTGTGGTTTTGAGTTGATGAGATTAAGGATTAGGATTAACTTTAAATACATTCTCATTTATAAGTGGAAGATCCCATTTAGTTTTTCAGGTAATTGTCTTGGCAGAGGTGAAACAACGGTTACGGGAAATCTCAGTCTTATTTTTTTTTTAATCATATTCTTTGGATGTGAACAAAATTCAGGGGCCAGCCAAGAGAGAAATATAGTTCTTGGATTTACAATTAAAGTTTACCTCACCACACACAACCATAAATAAGTAAAGACTACATTTGTGACACAATATGTGACCGGTTCATTGCCCACTTTGTGCTCCTCCCTTTGCGCTCCCACAGCACGAGACATGTGACGGAAAAGTGATGTAAATAAACTCCTTGCAGCTGTATCTGGGTCAGTGTCCCTGGTTCACTTTTACACATGCAAGCAAACATAACTGAGGAAGCTCTGATTAAACACAGACAGTTATTCAGAAAGCTGAGAGGTTCAGACGCAGAGAACAGGACGGATTCGAGAGTAAAAAAGCTGTGTAGGCACAAAGTTGGGACTGTGCGAATGCATACATGTCAGATTTAAGCTAACTCTGCTTAAATGTTCCCCCAGAATATCTTAATACGAGTACCAAACAGGGCATGAATCAGCACAGCTTTAACGCTCAAGCCCACAGTAAGCCCTAGTGGTGACACACCTTTGTTTAATCTCATTTAGGGTCATTAGAGGAAGTTTGCACAGACTAAGTGTAAGTCCTCTCACTTTCTGTAGACTTTATATTTAAAGATTAGAAATGTTAACTTTATTACATTTGCTGGCCAAACAATTATGAAATAATGATTGTAAATGCTGCAATTAAAGTTTTATTTGAGACCTGATGAAACGATGGAAGAATGAGGCTAATAAACACAATGTAGAGAAATGTAATACAAATCCTTTTTATATTACTGTTTCATATTATCTTAATAAATAGTTCATTTAACTGCTGTGGCAGACATTCTTAAAGAGAGGGAAATAAGGTCATTAGAAACCTGTTCTTTTTATTTTAAACTGAAATATAAAACAAATTCTGATTTTCATTTTTTTCACATTTGATTTATTTGCTCATTTCAGTGTATGGTTCCAACACAATAAAACACAACATGAAATATTTTTACATAATACTGAAACACTGAAACACTCCATGAACAAACAGGAGCAGAAGAAGAAAACTTATAATACCTGCCCCTTTTTCATTTTCATCCAACTAAACATTCCTGCAGATTGATTAAAAAGCTGCCAGTTTTGTTGTTGTTGAGACCAACAGTAAATGCATCACACCCACTTCATCTATAGGCAACATTTGTACTGTTTATTTAGTGTTTAACACCTTAGCCCGTACACATTATCTAGGCCCCTTAGATCATCAGACATCCGCCTCCTGGCTTTCACCCCCCTCTCGGCTCAAGCTCAAAGGCGATCATGCTTTTGCAGTCAAAGCCACTAAACTGTGGAAGAGCCTCCCCCATCCCATCCCATTCCAGTCTCAAACTTTAATTGTATATGTTAGCCTGTTTCTCTCAGGTTGTCTTTCGTTGCTTTCTTTGTTCTTGTAGATGTTGTGAACTCCTGTATTGTTAGTCAGCTGCTGCTGTTTTCAAATGTGCTTTCTATAAATGTGACTCGACTCCAGTTTTGGAGGTTGCCGTCTTAAATCAAAGCATGCATGGCTCTCTGAAGGTAGCTAGAACAAGTTACAGAACAGGCTTAGAGGAGCAGGATATGTGATGTGTTCTGTAGGTTGAGGAGACAGAGATCACGGTCACCGCTCCGAGCAGATGACAATCTGAATCGGTCTAATCTTTTTGTGCGAGCACTCTCCTTTAATCTGAGTGTGTGAAGTGAAAGGCTCCATTTAGTTAGCTTGTTCAGCTCTTCATGAAAGGCTGACTCATTCATTTCCTCTGGCTTGTCAGACTGTCAAAGACTCGCTGAAGTGAAATTCTCCATCGGTCGGGCAGGCTTATCAGTTACCATGGGAACTGCAGTCGAGTGACTTTCAGGCAATGGCAAATATTCAGCGACAAGAAATGACCGATTTTGTAACAACAACTAATATTTGAGATGCTGCTCAGCAGTGTGTGTGTGTGTGGAGGGGGGGGTCTTTATGTCATGTGTCTCTGCATCACACAGTCCACAGACCAAGTAAGCGAACGTTTTTCCTTTTGAATCAGCTGTGTGTTTAAACACAACCTTTCCCACTAACAGAACAACTTCATGATGGGCTACATGTTGTGCTGGGAAAGTTTGGGTTTGTTTCACTAAGATTTAGGATACCACATGGGTCATGAAAATAGCCGTCCATAAATGTTCCAAATGTTCTAAATTGAGAGAGAAATGCAACAAATTCTCACTTTATGTAATAATGACACACGAGTATCAATAAAATACAAACTATGAGTCAGTTCGAGAGGCATGCTGTACTTACCTCAGTGTCCCAGAACTCAGATCTCCACTGGGAGAGGCGACTGGTTCTCCACAGTGTCACACATCTGTCAATCAGTGAGGGTCACCTGCGTAAAAAAGAGAAAAAGAATCAATCACAATATCACAGGAAACACCGTCACACCGGCATTTAACATTTTAAAAACTGGATTCATGTTCAGTTTGGACACGCCATCTATTCTACAAAAAAACGTGTATGTGTAACTAATGTTGATGGTTGATGACCTCACAAACACACACAAACATTACTGAAGCTCCCTTGAGTTTGTATTTCGACAATAAGTCAACAAAATATACAAAGCAGCTGATAACAAGAAGACTTGGATCTCAACAGATGGTTGCTACACCCACACAGCCCTCCACTATTAAAAAGTAAATTATTATGAAGCATTTTGCAACGAAACCAGTCACAATCATTTTGTTGCATAATAAAAGAAAAACCTTTGAATTACATTTCTATAGAAGGTTATTTTGAGGCATGGCTAAAGGAGTTGATTTTCAAGTTTCTTATTGTTGCATAGCAACAGTCAGCTGGCCAACGTGTTGCCCTTGCCTGCTAAAAAGCATCTTGAGCATCCACACCCCTAATATTTACTGTATTTGGCAGATGAAATAGAGGCTGGAGAAGATTCCGAGGCCCTGAGAAGCAGACAAAGCCCCATCGCTGCGCCCTCCATCTGATGTCAAGTGTTTCCAAACACAGCCTTGTGGTTATCTGAAGGACTCTTACATTAGCAATTCATCACAGGCAGATGAGTCGAGGAAATTACCATGCACAATCCCATCCGTCTGGAATGATGTGTATACCCCTCTCTATCTATTGGAAGCTGTAAAGAAGCTTTTCGTTTTCCTTCAACCAGATAAAAGGGAACTCATTTTGTATGATTCATCAAAGCTCAGGGTAACGGTGCCTCCAGGTTCAGTGAACACAGCACAGGGAGGGATACGGAATGAATACAGCTAAAGCTGTGACATCAATGTATTACATAATAGATGAGTGAGTTACGCACTTTAAAGCTTTGATACAAACATATTTTAACTCTGAAGGTCATTCAATGTGATCAAACACGTGAGCTTTCCATTTCTTTCTTTATAATGTTAAAATGATGACTCATAACTGTACCATACATAAGTTAGCAGGGGGCTCTTAGTACAAACTGTTGGATTGAGCTTTTTATCTCTTCTAAACCTCTGGGTGTATAAATAAGCCACTGTGGAAAATGTCCCAAATCGATGAGCAGCGCTGTTTACTGATGGCTTTATTGGATTTTAGCATCAATGTAAAACAGTAGTTCGATTTGTCAGCACTTAAATAAAGAATAAAAGACATTTAATTTGGTGGTTTCATTCATTTACAATTCTTTAATTATTTGAATTGATGTATTAACAATGATGTTGCAATTTTAAAAAGCTATTAGAGTACAGAAACTTTAGAAGTTTTCCTTTCACAGGAATTAAATATTTTGAACAGTCTACAGTATCGCTTCATGGGGCGGCAGTACAGAGACATGGGTTGGGTCCCGGTGCGGACTAAATCGGGAAAGCTGGAGAGGTGCCAGTTCACTTCCTGAGCACTGGCGAGGTGTCCTTTAGTAAGGCAAATTTAAGTATTCATTTTAAGTTTATTATCAAGTTTTATATATTATTATTTTTTTTTTTATTGTTAATTGTAAAAGTAAAAATGTCTGTTTGAGTGCACTGCTGTTATTTAGGCCAATAAAGGCCTTTGTTCAACTGTAATAAAATATCTTCATTATATATCGGTTTCACAAGTGTTTGATAACTGCATTTGAGGGATCAATGCAATAAATGTGTTTGTACATCTAACTCCAAAGATCGAATGTAGATTGAAAAAAAGTAGAGCCCGATGTATCGGAATTTTCTCTCTCCCTAATATCGATGTCGGCCCCAAAAATCCCATACCGGTCAGGTCCTGGTGTGTATTTCAGCTGATGTGTGTAGTAAGTTCCACATGCTATTTCAATTTCCCCTCGCAGGATTAATAAAGTATGTAAATAAATACCTATTAAAACTATATGTGTATTTGATAATCTGTTTATTAAGAAGTTAATTTAAATAACATGGAGTACAATCTGAATTCAATTAGTGTATTTGATCTTAAAAAAAAAAAACATTCCAACGTGCATGACTCTTGCTCAGTCTTTTTTCAGGAACACTCCTCTGTAACAAGAAGGAAAAGAGAAAGCAGGAGGGATCTACATCAATGTCTCTCTGAGGACCTAACAAAGAACAGCAGGCAAGTGAAGGAGATAAAACCTTTTCAACTGCTGTGGATTTGTCTGGGAATTACTGTACAAGCCAGACAAAGTTTGGGAGGTGCCTCAGATTAGACTGCACTGTAAAAACAGACCCATCATCACTTACAAAAACTACTGATAGCAATGTGAATGTTAAACAACAAGCTACAAAAAGGAAAAACAGAACTAATTCCTCCAAGAAAATGCATAATAATTAGCTGAAGCTGCATTCCCCCAACTTTTGCCCTGATTTCACCCCAGTGTTAGCGCGTCTGGTAACAACAATGTTCTGCAGTCAGCCGTCACTGTTAGCTAAATATACAGCTAATGAGGCCTAGCGAATGACAATAAGCTAGTTTACCTTTAAGCACTGCTCTTCCTCTATGCAGGACCTGCTCATTGTCCTGCAGCGAGGCTCACAAGGGAATAGGAGAGCGCCAGCCCATCCTGTTTACGGCACTTCAAACCCCAAATCACAATGACACTGCTCAGCACGCTTGTTTAATGGCTCACATGGTTGAAGCAAAGCCAACAAGCGCTTCACATTTTAACAGAGTAGTTTTGTATGATTAAAACAAAAGGCCATAAATATTAAAGCTAGGACGAGTCAAAACAATTTTGACTCTGAACTTCACTTCAAGAGTCAACACTGGCTCTGGCTTTACCCGGACTTTCTCCTTCCAGCCCCCCAAAGTAAATGTTCCGTGTGGAGTCGGGCTGAGCTGATGTGAAAACACAGCAGGTTATATTCAGGAAAATTCACAGCAAGCGAGCAGGAGGGGGTGGTGATGTTTATATCCTGCGACATGGTGCACAACCATAGACGTAGACTGTAATGCACCCGATGGGTACAATGTCCATGCACGCAATGAACCTGCTTCATGATGTTTTCTCTTCTCTTTCTGCAGCATGTTCTTCTTCACTCTTTTGTTGATATTGTAAACTTGTTGAACTACAGGTAGCATTGATATAAAGGCAACAATTGTCATTATAGCGTCATTTCCCAGACTGTTGCTTAGTCCGCCACATTTCCATCAGTCTTTTTACATCATCTTTTGCCTCATGAGACCCCAAAAGACAAAGAGATTGCCAGACTAAGGGTCATAATTTGTAGGGCCACAAATGTTGTACATCTTACAGTATGGGGAACATGCATTGTGTGGCTATAACTCCGATAACTTATGAGATTTTACACCGAGGGAGAACTTTGACCTGATGATAGCACAAGAGGAAAAGTCAGAGGACCTTATGTCATTATGATTTATTGTCTGGGTGGAGACCTGTCAAAGGCTGAACTTATTGATTTCAAACAATCCAATCAGGCTATTCACTCCTGACAGTTTGTCCAACCAGCACTGCCAGCGTCAGAGCCATGAAATGCTTGAATGGAAAATACAAATAAAAATAATGGTTTTATGATACATTCACTTTGACACTAAATGTGCAATTTTCTCTCTCTCTACACTGCATACATTTTCTGGTTTGACAAATTATTACGACCTTTACACCACCACTGATTAGTGTATAAAACACTAAAGGGGACATGGGGCATCACTGATAGACAAGTATGGATGCCTACATGTTGATCTAGTTATTCAAAAATCCCAATCTGAAGATTTCAGATCACTTTCAAATTAGAGCCTAGAACCTCCTATTTGTAAAATAATCTGATAAATCCAAAAACCCCTCTGAACAATCACTCGAATCAGTGCTGAAATCCAAAACAGTATAACGTTAACATCTTGAAGGTTTGGTCCACACTGTGTGTATATGTGCCATGACTTCACCTGTCCTCTCTGCAAGCTGTCAGGAAATAGAGGCCTGACAACAGCTGCAGCATGCTAATCGACGTGCTGTGCAACTCCACAAACAAACACTACAAGCATGCTAATCAAGTCAGCTCTATGACAGACAGCTTGTGTGCTAATCCCACTCTGCCGCTGTTTACTGTGTGTGTTTGTGTGTGTGTGTGTGCCTTACTGTCAGTTTAACTAACCTGTTTACCAGTAGTTAGGATTGACTGAACTCATTAGGGGGCAGTCTTAAATACAACTGTATTCCAATAAAGGAAACATTTTCCAACAGGTGACACTTTGACACACAAGCAGCTTTTGCCAACATCTGTTCCATTGGTTACTGGGGTCTTATTTTAAATGAGTACTAAACAGGGGCATCTAACAATGCTCATCCTTCATGACAGAGAGATGAATCACTCGGGTATCCGGGACTAAGTGACTCATTTAACCAGTGTAAACAACCACAAGGTTAGAGCTCTGAAAAGTGTAGAAGGGAGGAGCTATAGCCCGGTACTACTTACAGTCAGAGTTACTCTGTACAAATTATGATCTACAGTTTGCACTTGTTCATTTTGTGGACACAATTTCCCATATTGAAAGGTGTTTGGTTTTATTTACTGAATGAACCAGTGTCGAGCAGTAGTAGTGAACTCCCCTGGAAAAAAAGACAAACGGAAAAACCTGACACAATTAACACTTCAGTCTTTATGTCAGGGTTTTCCTTTTAGCGGCGCTGCAGTTGCTACGTAATGGACAGGATTGAGTCATTTTATTTCTCACAAATCAACTTCAAGTGTTACAAAGTTTCTGCAAGTGTGTCTTTCATCAGGCAGGGAAAATGTTATGGCATTAATATTCCATATCTGTATTTCTTCTTCGGTTGGTTGTCGATTCAGACTGATAACATCTCCAGATAGATTTGTAAATCGGCACAAAAGGCACAGCAATTTATCACATAATATGAGGCTGAGTTTTCTTTATTTTTCTCTTATGTTATCAGGTTATTGTCGTAAA